TTCATGTTGATTCTGCATATAACAATGAAGATCAATCCGCTGCACCACCTTGCTATTACGTATATGGGATTCGTCATAGAACAACATACCATTACTTTTGTATTCAAGTTAACATTTTAACTTCAACTCTTATATATAGTTTTGTTCAGAATTTAATTCTCTATCGAATGCTATATGACTTGACTTGCAAATAGCGAATAGACTACCACTTTTAATCTACCACTCACCAATCACACAAATCCTATGTGGACCATAACTAATTGAATATTGATGTATAAGAAAAGTTTGACACAGAAAGCTGAAATTTGTAGAAAACACTCATAGTTATAGGCTCTACAAATGCTGAAAGTTTCATATCAGACGATCATTTCTTTCCTTGTTAAAAAAGACTAATCTGATAATAGTCCATGGCTAATTGATTTTAAGAAAAGTCGATGTCTGTATATCGGCCGTTTCGAGTTGGAATAAAATTCCAAACATAGGGTTTGATAGAGCAGAGTCTGCTCTACAAAATTCACAAAGTCATTAAACCATGGAATCCGTCTTAAGAAACTTCCAAGGGACGAAGTTTGTAGTGCTGCTGTTGTTAGCATGGTCCAGAAAATTTTTTACTAGGTTAATAAAAATGAAAAAGCGTTATAGGTGCGGATGCGCCGGGTCATGGGGAGCAAGAATATATAATTGAAATCAATTTTGGTTCATACAATAGTGAAAAAGTGCAGATCAGGAAGTTTAGTAAATTTTCATTTTTCATCAATTATGCTAATTTCCAGCTAAACTTGTATACCTTATATCTCCCTACAGGAACGGTTTTGTGAGCTGAAATTTTTACCATAGATACAACTCGTCGAACTCTACAAGATATGATATGATTCGATTAATTTGAAGATACTTGTGTTTTTTGTGGCAGAAACTCCATGGAATAGGCCAACCACGCCCTAATTTTCTTCATCCTTCGTTTTAGTTCGCAATTTATAAATGGCTTCTGGCGAATTGGCAACAAGGAAAAATAGTATTTCATTATACAGCGTGCTCTATGTGCAACTTTTCACCATTTTAGAAGCAAAAAAAGATGAGAAAACCTTATTTCTCAAGTTGAAAACGACAAGATGCAGCATGATTTAACCTCTATGGTTCTTGTATGGTTTTATGAGTCAGAAGTTAAGCCAAGTTTTGTTTTAACGAATAGATCACCTGATTTTTGAGGCTTCAGGAAGTCGATATAGTTTCTTTCTATAATTAATGCATACATTTTTCGTAGACAGTTACACGTTCAATGTTGTGTTGATATTCAGTCACGTCTTTTTTAATTTTGACAAAAGCCACTTCAAAAGGATCCAAAAATGCCATCAACTCCACCTTTGAAGACAGGCATGCGCATATTATTATATTTTTTAGTCTCAACTCGACGAAAGTCTACATCTTGATGTTTACGCATGAGCGAATCGATACCAAAACCAGCATGGAGAGTCACTTGACTAACCCCTACTTCGGCGTTAGTGATTGCATCATTTTTGGCATAATAACAGCTGAAAATTATACCATTGTAGATTAGAAGTTTGATGTCTTCTAAGTCTAATGCCCATAGATAGCTCTATACGTGTGGAGCTATCTCACAATTGATCGTACATCCAACAACCTTGATATGATGATTGAGACGTCGCGTGAATATCGTATACCACAATGAACTATCATAATAGGAAACAATAAATGGACCACGAACAGAAGAATTAAGAAAATTGAAGTACCTGTAAGTGTTTATGTCGATCAAACTCTGTGATAGCAACCAGTCTACACTATCCATATCAAAACTTTTGTTCTCATACTGGATGTAATGCCCATTAGGTGATAAAGAGGGTAACTTCGTTATATCGAACGATTTGTTATCAAGCTGTTGCAAAATAAAATAATAGTCAGCATCATCGCAACTGCGTACGGCTGTACGTATGAAGTACGCCAAATTTTGTTCGCGAAGTCCATGTGTTGGAGCATACACATAAGTGATCAGAACTCGTGTCAGTAATTTGTCTTACTAGAAATCTCATTCGTCAAAGAATTCTGTATGTCACTACACAATATGTTCTTGTTGCTGGTAAAATATTTCAATGAATTGGCAGTGTAAGAAAAATAATTATAGCCAAGGACCAGAAGATAGAAGACCACTACAATCGGAATGAAAATGTACTTCTTTGTCACTTTTTGTGCTAACATCTATGGTTCTCGAAGTATTTGGGTTGAATAACGGGAAAAGTCACTTAACATATGAATACATATAATAGTGGGAAACTGATACGCAGTTCCTTGGAGAAAATGGTCTTTGTTGCGAAGATCTTCAGCAGAAAAGATAGATATTTTTCAGCGAAGTTGTGCAACGCATGAGTGATTTGTCCATCTTCAAGAGGTTTCATGTGACAGAAGACGTTTCTAAGAGAACTACGACATTCTTAGGCACGAGATCATTCGTGAAAAAATAGAATAGCATAGCTTCTTTTCCCATAATTTCATAATCGATTAGAATCAATGACAAAACTCATTCTTCAGTCGAGCACAAATACGTATGTCTGCTTTATTTTCACTCCTCTGCAACCAGCCCCAATCTTTTTCTTTCCTTTCTTTCTTCTTTCTCTTTTCTCCCTATATCATACGCACGCACATTTATTCAGCTTCCTTCACAAACGCTAGATGTGAATGTGCAAGGTTGCTTGAAAAAGAAGATACATTTTTCGTTTCGAGTCATGGCTTGAGTGCTTCGTTATTGAAGTGCGGGTGCGGGTGAATATGGGTGTAGATGAGTGTAGTGGTTGAGTGTATTGCGTGCGTGTGGGTGTGGGTGCAGAGTAGAGCGAGGTCCATATCCACATACTACACCCACACCCACACCCATACCCACACCAAATATGCTTGTGTTTGGTTAGTAAATCCTTGTATAATGTTAAAACTGCTTTGTTTTTAACAAACTACATCTTTTATAACAAGTGTCTTGTTCTAATAAAAGGAAAAGTTTCTGAATATCTTTGTAGTAGAGTAATTTTATTATTTTCTTTTGTCTAGCGTCAATAAGTGTAAAATGTTGCAGGTAAATAAAAGTACATGTCAAATGTATGAAACAGGCTATTTCTGCACAATCACATCGCACGATTTTTTCTAAATATCTGCCTTTGGTCTTTTTCTGTTTTTACATACATGCAATTTTATTTCTTTCGAGCGAATTTTTATACAGAAATTAATGGATTTTGTGTTGTGCTCAGTAATTTTCAATTTTTTAATGTATTTTCTTTGAGAATAAATAGTTACAGCTCGATCAAAATTGTAGCTGTTGTATCTTAATGTTTTGTTCAAATCCGACTTCTATCGTTTACTATATTCTGTGTTGCCTGTAGCTTTTATTAATTTTGCAATGATACAATAATCATAGTAAATATAGACAGTTAGTAGAATTGATGAGAAACAGCTATTTTTAAAATGAAAACCAAAGAAATATGATTAGTCAGAATACAGAAACGGCGTATCCCTATGTCTAATCCATAATGGTATTACCAAGGAAAAAAGCGCGAGCCTAGTACTCTGGAGTACCAATGGAGTACGGACTATTGCTATCCCATTACTATTTCGTCAGTGTCCCATTACTATGCTAGTAGTACTTCACTGATACTCCGCTGGTACTTTTTAGACCTGGACCCAGTCCCGAATCGTGCTCTTGATATTCAATGAAGTTTTTAAATTTTCATCTGATACTCACTGCGTAATACATTTTCAACATTTTTCGAGTAATCTCAACAATGATCTTATAAGAATAAAGTTGACTAGTTCTTTTTCTTTTTCAGATTAGCGTCCATGACGTCGGACGTGGATGTGGACCTGGCACAGGTAAATAGAAAATTTTCAGATTCCCAAGAGCGTATTTACAAGAAAGATTGAGGAATCTACCATCTGTGAAAAGATTTAAATATCTGAAGGGAGATATTGGTTGCACATTTTTCGAAAGTCGAAATAACTCATTCTTTTGTGGTAGTCCTCCCTACAAAACCATCAATCCTCTCCTAAAATATTCTTGAATATGTTAATGCAGATTCGAACTCAATCAACACCAAATTTTAATGTTCGGACTTAGCTTGTCCGAGTCTGAGACCAATCCGATGAGCTGTATGTAAAGCAAATGTTTTGGAATATGCACCAAGCTCAATAGGGAACACAGTGGATTCCAATTTTACGGACTTCCGCAGTTCGCTCTTTCTATCTTGGCTGCACTTAAGTACACGAACCCATCTAGAATAAGAAACTGCTTATATTAAAACAAAACATTGACAACAACAACAACAACGAACAGATTAAACGTTCCAACCGATTTTCATACAAAAAATTCTTGAGCAGCTATGTAATCAGAGAAAAATCTGGTATTATTATGAGAAAAGACAGCAAAACTCTTTTCAGATTTTTATATGGTACAATTGAATGCCTATCAAATGCGGAATATCCAAGGGGAAACAGCTGATTCCATAGCGTTGGAATCACTTGGAATAACTGGAATTACATGGAATCACTTGGAACCACTTGAAACCACTTCGAGTCATTAGAATTTTGGAATCATAGAATGAATGTTCGCCGAAGAGCGTTTCATCGAAAGACTGTTTCGCCGCTTTAAACTGCTGCAGGCCCTTTAATTCTTATACAGGCTTGTTAAGCATGAAGAGACCAACTCACTTTGCTCTCATCCTCACCTTTGGAGCGCCCTCCGTGACCAAAAAATACTTTTGATGAAGTGCACCTCGGCGAAGAGCTTACTTACCCATAGAATCAGCCGTTTCCTCCTTGTCATTTATCAACAGGAATATTTTGTATGCGTTTATTTTTTTATCCGAATTTAGTCACAACAATTTGTTATCAGTTATTATTTCGATTTCTTTATGAGTAACAATTTGAGTATAAATTTAATGACAACTACAGCAGCTTTAAATGAGGGGGGAACGATTTCTCCACGAAACAGCTCTAAATAATAATCACCATTGATATCATTCGAATGTTAGATTATACGTTTTTTTCTACAACATTACACTACTCTCGACTAAAATCCACCATTTTAGATGATACTTCCGAATATATCCAACGAACCTCTCTTTTTGGCTATATTTATAGAATATTCCGATTGAAAGTGATATAATGATACCCAGATGACTTTCACTAAAACAATATATGAAAGCGCCATTTTTTTCAACATAGATAGATCTTCTCAAGAGCTACAAAATGATGCTAAATTGTGTGAGTAACTATCCCATGCAGTCAGAAATATAAAATTTACGCGTTATAACAACTTCTCCTTTTCTTTCGTTCAACGCATTTCAAACAGTCAAAAATGTCCGGAATTTCGCGTTTTAACGGTGACGTTTTTCTTATCCTTCAACCTCGTTATGACTATTTGTGGAAAAAACAGTTCTTCGCATTTGCAATATAAACGCATTAAAACTCGTAATTTCGGACATTTTTAACTGTGTGCATTCCGTTCACCCGAAACGTGTTCTAATGCATTTGACATATGATCAGTTTATTGCATTGCTTTATTCAACGTATTAAAACTGAATATTTCAGATACTTTCGATGTAAATAATATTGCAATTAAATGGATCACAAATGACTACAACTAACAGAAATTCATGTTATGAATATTAGTAAGATGTAGTATTCTATAATAAATAACATACACTATATAACATCGGCTCGTAGAAAATTAGGAATTGAAAGTAGAGTAAAGATGAGTAATTTCATGCGCTTTTGAAGAATAGATTCGTTGCCATATGGATATCCATAAAAGCCGATTGGATTGCATGGATGGTCTGTCTTGAAGAAGAAACTCTTGTAAATCCACTCTATGACTTTTCTTAGGGTTTCACACTCTAAAAAAAATAGGTTTTTTACCAAACCCTCGAAAAAGGTTCGGTAAATTTGAAAAAGAATCCAACTGCCTCCAAAGGCTTGAAAAACGATTCTTCAGTTCTACGAAACCTTTAAAGGTTTCGCCGAACCGAAG